GAAGCCGAGAGAGCAGAAGTAGATACTGAACAGATAGGGAGCGGTACCGGAATTTGTGTAAAAGACCGCCTGAAATAAATAACACCTATATCATACCGGCCGCGCCGGTAGGTACTGTGGAGCTTCGGTCTACCTGCCTGCCAATGAGAGGTTTGGGGGTCCGCTTCAGTAGCCGGCGGTATCATTCAAAAAAAAAAAGTCACGATGCTTGCCAATCATAATTACTACTCTGCCCGCGAGCTCATAAGTCACGTTTTTTTAATTGAGAAAAAAAAAGAGATAAAAGCCTTCGTTATGGGATATGTTAGGGGCGCTACTCTACATCCGCGCAACCATGCATATCAAGACAGTGCTTCGACACTCCTGCCAGCCTAAATTACAATAAAGCTGGACCACCACCGAAGTTGTCGAGAGTCTGACCACAGACAAGACAGGCGTAAGTCAAGGTGTCATGTAAGTAGAATAGAGTAGGAAGCGCAACGCGCGCCACAGGAAGGTAGGTGAACAGAAGAAGAATTAATAACATGGGATAAGAAAAAGCAAAGAAGAGAACAGAGCTTTGATTCTTTCCTGGACCGAGCAAGAGCAAGGAAGTCTGACTAATGCGACGAGACGAGACGAAGCTCACGTTCAAACTTCAAACCATGCCCACCGCGGGATCCCGAGCATCAATTCGTGCGCGAGACATCCCATTTGCTACCGGGAGACTAGGGGAGCGCGGGAGTCGAGTTCGTGGGGGAAGAGGGAAGAAGGATGAACGGACGCCCCCCGGGGGGGGGGGGGGGGAATGAGAGAAGGGACATGAATAATAGGTAATATTGGGATTTAAGACCGTGGGGCTGATGATCAATGTTTCGTGTGGTTGCGCAAGGATTTCTGGCAGGCTTCCTGCTTAGTACGACTTGACTCTGATGACGGACTCAACGGTTCAGCACTGGCTGTAGGTACAGTGCGTATGGCAACTCACTTAACTTCAGATATCGTGAACTTTCCCGCAGAATCCTTCCTCTCGGTATGTACTTACATACGTGCGTACATCATATCTGGCGGTATGCTATGCTAAGGCACTATATCATGAAGGCATGCATAGCTTCCTCGTATATCTCTACAGTAGCTAGAGTATTGGGGGGCGAAGCACCTGGTCCGGCAATAAGGAATTGGGGGTTTATTGATAGAAATGAAATATCTACCATAGGATGGATACCACGATATCACAATAGCAACAACAGTAATGCCAATATCATGAAGAGATGGATGTAACTAGGTTAGGTGTTTTCAGAGCCGGTGGTTGTTCAGTTAGGAAATAAATATTTCATGTAGCTGGCCAACCTTATGCCTTCGACCTCTGCTTCAACCCTAGGCGCGCGAGGCACGACTGTTGTAACACAATCCTCCAATGATCATGTGCCCCCGTGCTTCGTGAATTAAAGTGCAGGAATAGTAAGCGTCTGTATCATCGATGACGGAATTTCAGAAGTCGAGCCATTGCGGGTAGTGGGCACGGTAGAGTAAGGGTACTGTATGTATGTTGTTGTACTCGGGGCAGGCAAGAAGAACCTGAAAATGACTTTTTATGGTAACGACCTCTGATTCGCGGCTGGCGAAAAGCTACACCAAATTGAGCCCCTGCTTGCAGCTTGCATTTTCAGGTTCTTATTGCCTGCCCCGAGTATGTAGGGACAGAGGTAGGGAGATAGGTAGACCGTAGGTTGGGGGGGGGGGGGGGGGGAATTAGAGGTATTCTATCGTGGGATAGGCAGAGCTAGGGAGCTGTATGCTTGTGCTGAATATCTGGCCATTGCATTGAGTTTCTGGTTCCAGGGTAGGGCAGATACCGGTAGGTACGTGCACCGGTGGATGGAATGCCGAAAGGCTACCGTATCTCTACTCTATCTCGTTTTTGATTTTTCTTATGTATATTTATCATGTTTTATTTTTCCTGACACGTTGGTGCACGGGGGTACAGATAGACGTGACAGGTAGAGTAGAAGGGTGGATTCTCATGAGCCGGATTTCCCTTCTCAAAGGGACTGGCTTGGGCGGAGTGGTGGCTAGCTAGCTCAGCTCATGGTAGGCCAGATAGGTGGAATTGAAACAAGTTCACGATACTTTTGCTTGGTGTAGCAAGTTGCAACCCACAAAAGTAATTGCCAAAGGGGCGGGCGTGGGCCGGCGTCGACGGGGTCCTCTTTTTTCTTTCTTGATGGGCTAACTAGAGTTAGAGTGCTTCCTGTACCTAGAGTAGGGGTAGAGGGGAGCACGCAATAGTTTCCATGCAATTATTTCTTGATGGCAGCAGGGGACACTTTTTTTTTTATTATTGCTCGCTGTTTTAATCGTCCATCACTGGCAAGACGTGCGCACAGCCAACTGCACTGGCGGGCTGGATGGACAGTGAAGCGAACGAAACGACATGAAAAGTCAAAGCACTCACAAGCTGTAGTGTGGCTTGCTGACGCACATTTCGATCTTCCGGCCCAATGAGCATTCTGGGCGATGATTTGGGATGGTTTTAAGAAAATCTGGGGTCATGCGGGCAATCGAAGAGGGAAACAGAGTTGTCTTACCTTCAATCCCATCACCATCCATGTCGACTCTTTTGTGAATCGAATCTGTCTCTGGAACTTCTCTCCTGCCAGTTCATCGAGGCAAGAGATGGATGCAGCGGGAGAAATCTAAGGTTATGGATGGGGCCTGTATATTGGTGGTATAGCTGGTATGTATATCATGTGGGCACCTCCGTGATGGAGTGTAATTTGGATATACTGCTGTACTTGGGTCTAATGTGTACACACATGTGAAGTTATAGGTATGTGGTACCTTTGACTTGTATATTCCTGGTGGACAGTGCAAACGTAGTCTATAGAGACACGAGATGGGCAGAAGTATCGGAAATAGATACAGGTGCATACGAGGTGGTATTTTCTACCGGTATTATGAGGATTGAAAGGATAAAATGAAGGATTACGGGCGATTCAGGAAGTACCTACTCTCATTTGAACGAATCCCGAGTTTCAAACATTCGAGTACTTGAGTGTGAACATGACCCAAACAGCAGCTGTGAGTGAGTATATGAGCCTGGGCTAAAAAAGTGACGGCTCGGTTGACATGTCCATCGATCTGTTACTGGGGACGGATGCTGAGGTGTGTGTGAAGGTACTATGCTACCTGGGCCACTATCAATAGAGATCAATCTAACAGCTCTGTGATCCTAGGTCTCTCTATGTAGAGTCTACGAGTGGTAGAAAGTGTTAGGCGTTCAACACCGGGGGACCCGCACTCTGCACGATATTTCGGACGAACAGCCCGCTACAGCTTCAACGGCCGAAGCTCTGTTGTGGTTGATATGTTTGCATTCCCTTTGCACTCTCGAAAGTCAGAAGAAATCCGTGCCTACCCTATATAGAGTTTTTGCACTATCCTGTGGCTATCCTAGGTATGACGGTTCTCCAAGAAAAATAACTTGGGAGCCCTAACTGAAATTATCGGATGAATTAAAGCTCTTTGGATGAGCAAAACATCATATGAGACATGATACGCCATCGTTAGCCAAACGCGACAACAGCTGCTGGTAGAAAATGATATAAAATCAGAGAAAAAGCAACGTCCTGCGCGACCATACTGGATCTGTAAAAGTATGCATTCGAGAGGTTCATGAACGTATCACTTGGCAGGGCTTTGATGTCTGTCCCCTAAAAGTAGGCGCCAGCGCCGCGTGCACTTTACGGTTGCAGTTTGGCTTGATGCCTATCCATACACGCTTCCTGCTACTAATTAACAGTGGTACAGGGCTTCGGGTCCTAATAACGATGCCAGTTAAGGAATTAAAGGATTAAAAGGCGAAACGTTGAAGGAAGGTGGCAGGAGGAATATGCCAATTTTAGCCAACAGTGGAACACCTTGACGCTTAATTATTGAAAGTATTAAGCCAATCCGCAGAAATGATTGGGGCGACTGATTCATGATGGGATTCAAGATCTCCAGTTTCATGGGATAACATTGCTATTCTGGGTGAATAGGTACTCGAGTACTTGACTCGAAGGTATTTCAAGCCGATACGAAAGCTGAGCAGGTACTTCCACTTCCTGTATAAGGCTGTATTTACTCCAGGGAGGTAAGCACCTGAGTTAACAGCAGTTTCTCAAGAAAGCTGTTGTATGCAGGCCGAATGATTATCCGATGAAATATCTTGCTTAAGGAAATGCTGGTTGTCCCGGTAGCCTGCTCTTTCACTCACAATTGACGCGGACTGGGGTTTCGAAATGAGATAGGTCTAAAGAGCTTTGCCAGGCCCTTCTTGTACCTCTACACTGCCTTCTTGCCTTGTCCTCCGTCTTAGCATGTGTGTGAATGTACCATCCAAGCTCCGTCAATGTGATTGCTGGTCACTATCACCCTATCACATACTTGCTATCCGGATCCCTGTGAGGTAAGTATACCATGCTGCTTTAATATCATTATTCACAGACAGTCCTCCTTCCCCAGCTTTTGGTTTTGGATTTGCACATCCTTTTTTTTTCTTTCTTTCTTTTTTTTCTTTCTTTTGCCCACACTCACACACGGTTCAGTGGAGAGTTAGCTGGGGGCACTGACACACTGCGACCCACATTTCTCTGCTGCATGCAAGTCAATTGAACGTCAACGAACCACAGTCCACGATACCGTGACGTACACGAGCGAGACTCGAGGTTTCCTAGCCGTGCCGCCGAGAGAAAGCGAGGCGAGGTGGCTGTTTTCCCTCGGGTCGTTGGTGTTATCCCGGTGTGAACTAACTGGTAGCAGGTTGCCTAGGAGTAGCTTTTTTTTATTTTTCTCTTCTCTTCTCTTCCCTCTTTCGATGTTGACAATCATGCCCTGCGCGATCCGAAAGCAGGATAGTGGGGGGAATTGTTGCGATGATATAAAAATACATATACAATCAGGAAAAAAAAATAAAACACTCGCAACGCCTTGATCAATAGCCAGGTACATAGTACACACCCACAGAGCTCACACAGTTCATGGGTGACAGAGCGGGACGGTCGGTTCTGGTCTGGAAAACGATAGTCAGGCTGAAGGGGCGAGGATGTTGGCTCCTTCCCTTGCCCTGGGCGGGTGTGTGTAATAATATCAGGAACGAATCCCAGCGGAACAGAAAGGAAGAAGATTTGCAGACATCATGTCAAATGAAATAAGAATAAGATAAAACGTGAGGTCCACGCCGGAAGGGGCGCTGGTTGCAGAACCCGAATAAGAAGGGAAGGGAAGGGGAGGTACACACAGTACCGCACATACCACGGTTCAATAAATCAAATCAATTGACTGTAGAGTACGAGATCGTGGAACATCAAAGAAAGAAGAAGTAAACGTGTGAATACCTACCTGCTACAGCTAGTAGGTGTTCTACATAAACTACATGTACTGTACTTACTACAGCCCTCGCCCTCCCACCAGCTGCCTTTTGCACGCTCTGGATTGAGCTCTCTGTGCCGGTACAGCCAGGACACATCCAGGTATCCCAGGTAGACTTCCGGTTGGTTCTTATATACATCCAAGTCAGTTTTATCGGTCCGTTAGACAGTGACCAGTCGTGCTCATAGTCGTAGTCAGCCACTCATTCAGTCACACACATCTGAACGAACCACGGACTCTGACACTGGCTCAGTCTCGAGTCACCTCCCCCTCCAACGCAGCATCCAACCACGCATTTCCTCATAATCCTTCTAACCCTTCCGTTATATCTCTTATTTTTCCTTCTTCCTGACCTGTCTACCCCCCCGGCCAAGGTTGAAGTAGCAGACAGCAGCGGTAAACAACCACGCTTCGCCTTTCAAACGTTCCGTTGTTACTGCTGTTCGGTGAGTTTCATCCAAGAGACTAGGCGACTGTAGTTATCTCAATTCGCCTCGTCGCTTTCAGTTCTACTTCTCTCGGATTCGGCGAGTAAGAGAAGAAAGGGTCGGGATAATACACAAATATCTATCAGACAACCCCCCCCCCCCCCACACACACACACACTATATCCTCTTACGACCCAAAGTTACAGAATAGCGAAACTTCAAACGAAGACAGATCGACAAACACCGGGTGACGCAAAAACTACTTCTAGACGTCCTCCTGCCCGGCCATCGGGAGTTGATCCTGAAAGCATTTCTCTCCTTTTGCCTTTCAAGGATCTATCTCGTCTACCTGTACGATCTTCTGTAGATTGACTTCCTCTCTTGTATAGTCCTGCAGTGACCATCACTATCCTTTCTTAAGAAGAAGCCGCCAGCCACCTTGTGAGTGTTCTGATCGACTCGTTGTGGCAGTAGCCTTGGTGTATGAAATCGTCTGGACTGATTCCCGGATTCTTTTCACGATTGTGAAGTGGCAGTAACATATTTTTTTTTACTGTTCTCAGCCGACAGTTTTGGTGTAGGTATACGAACCACTCACGATTTTCTACTCCTGCATGATCGCTAACTTGATAGATAACTGTCCAGTAAAGATCCTAGTGTTTCGAGCATAGTCCTGTCAGACCCGTTGAACGACACGAAGACCACTACTTTTTGCAGCATCTCAACTTTCAAAATTTTCAACCTGGCCGCGTTATTACCGAAAGTGCTACAGCTTCCTCTTCTTCGTACGTCTCATCTTCCGCCAGCGAGCAGAATCAAAAGGAGCCCTGTCCCAGCTGAGATACTCTTGATTTATCACACTCACGGTCGACCTTGATCACCTTACCCATCCATTCTTCATCTTCTAAGCCTAGAGCTTGGTATAGACGGGTGCTTCAATTGTATACTCTGTGAACTGTGGGTTCATCTTATTCAAATACCTTTGTAGTGCCAAAATCATCCTGACCAGATTCACCTCTTCAAGTCTGGCTCGCTATCACAGCCTTGCCCGACTTCCTCACATAGAGTCATCTGTCGTAGTATGGCAGGAGAAAACGTCGCTCTGCAACCGCCAGTCAGTTCAACATCTCCCACAATGTCTTCCTCTTATCCCAACGGAGTGAATAACGGGAATGGTATGCCATAATTCGCTTGGTCCCATCCAATGTAGAAGCCTTAGCGATAAAGTACTCACAAGTTGTTTCAGCCTCTAAATCACAGCAGCCTCTTCCACCTCCACCAAAGACTGATAAGCCCAGACCGCACGTGTGTGCGACTTGCACACGCTCGTTTGCCCGTTTGGAACATCTGAAGCGTCATGAGCGTTCTCACACAAAGGAGAAGCCATTCGAATGCCCGGAATGCACCCGATGCTTCGCTCGTAGAGACCTTCTTCTCCGCCACCAACAGAAGCTACACATGACAACAACTCCCAGCAGTCGCCCAAGAGCTGGTGGTCGAAGAGAGAGCACTAGTTCTGTTGCGTCCACAACTGGTAGGGTTCGAAAGAATTCAATCTCCACAGCAACTGTTCCGGCCAGTGCTGGTGATGGCGGTGCATCAACAATGAGAGCTAGGCCAAGGGCGAATACCATTGCTCATGTGGATTCTTCGACTTTGGGAATGATTGCCGCTGCAAACGCGAATGTTAACCGCGGAAGAAATGGTGTAGCCGCTCAGGCCAATATGGGAGGTATCGGTTTTGGTTCCCACAATCATGAGGAAACCAGGTATGTCTTTCCAAAGATGAATCCCCGGACATGGGGTGCCTGGGCTCATGAGGGACCTAGGCACGCGATCCCCAAGATCGATACTTCAATCAACTCATTGGACTTGGGTGGAATGATGCCCCGTTCTGCCACAATCCTGCCCTCTGAATTCGACCTTGAAGGACTATTTTTCAGCCACCAAACTGTTAACCCAGCAGCCCTGCACTTCAATATGTCTCCTCTTCAGCAGCCTATCGGAACTCCAACTTCGCCCTTCGGGTCCGATTTCCCTAGCATAAATTCATCGTCCTATTATTCTATTGACGACGAGGATGATTACGAATGGATGAATGTTTTGGGTGGGGGTAGTCTTCTGAACGAACCCGTTGATCAGTCATCTCCGAGCGCTTTTAGCACCACTTCCGCGAGTGGGATAAGCGAGTTGATGCTCAACGACGCTGTGTGGGGGTCTGGCGCAATTGGAATGAACTCTACGGGCAGCTCGATGAACTATTCCCCATCGACTGATTTTACGACTCCGAATTTCAATGATACCCCACCGCCTGGTACCGTTTCTCCAAAAAGCTTGCTAGCCCAACAGATCTCTAACGAAAACTATTATTCTACTCCAGATCCGCTTTCCATCTCCCCATCAGGGATGGCAGCTGGCTTCTCTTCTCATTACAATCAGTTTCCGAACCAAGAAGCCCCGCCAGCTGGCCCGAATTCGATGAGCTCTTGTGGATCATCCCTAATCTCGCTTGCAGCTGAATCCGTTACCGAAGCTACCCGTGCGGCATTGTTGACCACCTTGACGCAGCAGCCGGGATTCAACACCCAAGCAAACCAACAAAATTATCAGAATTCTCGTAACCAACAACAACGTAGGTACTCCACATCTGCACAATCGTCCCCAGTAACCGCTGGATTCACCGCATCGGTAAAGCAAGCGTCTGCGGCCAGTTTACCCAGCACCAAGGAGCTTCAGCGTTATGTTTCCGCCTATATCAAGTACTTCCACCCGCACTTACCATTCCTGCACATCCCTACCTTGAATTTCAATTCTTCTACCTTTACAAGCAGCTACAAGGGTGGGCAACGCAACGGTGGTATGACTGGTGGCGGTGGGTGTCTCGTTTTGTCCATAGCCGCAATCGGAGCCCTTTACGAATTCGAGCCGATAATTGCACGTGAGCTCTTTGAAGCAGCGAAACGCAGCATTCAATTGTTCCTGGAGGACCGACGAAAGGCCGATGTCAGTGCTGCAATTAGTGGGATGCATGGGTCGGGCTCAAATGGAGGTGACTCGAGCAGCAATACCCCCGTTTGGCTTGTTCAGGCAATGCTTCTTAACGTTATCTATGGGTTGCAATGCGGTGACAGAGCAGCTTGTGAAATTGCTGTTACCCACTGCGGGGCATTGGTTTCTTTGGCAAGGTCCGCAGGTTTGACGCGCCCGACAGCTATTCCTGCCATGAATTCTGTTAAGCAAGAAGATGGCGATATTCAAATGGGGGATTTGGATCTGGGGTCATTTGATGGAAGTGTGGGCAGTGACGGATGGGGAGGACTTGGGATCAAAATGGAGGCTGATGAAAATGTTGAATGGACGAGCTGGATCATGGCCGAGGAAAGGAAGAGGACCCTGTATGCGGTGCACTTTCTCTCTAGCTTGCTTGTTGCTGCACACAACTTGTCCCCGACACTTATGAACAACGAGATCCGCCTCGACTTGCCTTGCAACGAGGAGTTGTGGTCTTCGCACGATGCTGCTGAATGGCAGCAAAGAGGCGGCCTCGTTGCTGCCTCCAAGAGCTCGGTTAGTTTCGCGAATGCGCTTAATGGACTTTTGTCCACAGGCCAACAGCAATACGGCCCCCCGGGTAAATTCCAGAACTTCACCAACGGCCAGCAAGGAGGAATCCCCCCCTACCCGCCTTCTGGGATCATTCCCAGTACATTTGGGTGTCTGGTCCTCATATGTGCTCTTCATGTATACATTTGGGAGACACGCCAAAGGCACCACGCCCGTCACTGGACTTCGGCTGAAGCAGAAGCGATGCACGCGCACATTGAGCCTGCCCTGAAAGCATGGCAAGCAGCGTGGTACAGTAGCCCGCACCACAGCATCGAGCGTCCAAATCCATACTCAATGGGCCCTCTATCAGCCGACTGCATTCCTCTCCTCGATCTTGCGTACATTCGTCTCTTTGTAGATCTGGGAAGAGCAAAGGAGTTCTTTTGGGCAAGGGATTACGACGCCATGGCAGAGGAGATTGCTCGCGGATGGGACAATGGCCAGATTACATCTTCCAGTGCATCCTCAACCTCAGCGCAGTCTGATGCATCGTTTTCTGGTGCGATGTCGCCCGCTTCCTCTCCTGCCTCTACTTCACCCTCTCCGAGTCTTCGGCCAATCAAGATGGAGCCTGGAACATCGTTCACAAACAATGGCATGTCCGTTAGTCCCAATGGAGCTTGTTCGAAACGTGAGAAACATCTTAGAAAAGCTGCTTTCTACGCCGCGGACTCACTAGCGATGTCGGATACCCTTGGCGCCTCAACTTCATCTTCTTCTACTACCGCCTGCCGCGAACTCCCCATTCAGTCTGCACTTTGCACATTTGATTGTGCGCAAGTCCTTGCTGAGTGGATTGCCACTGTCCAGGAACGCGTTGCACCATTTGTTGGAACCCTTGGCTGCGGCGATAAGTTCGAATTAGGAGGAATTGAGGGGCTAATGATTCTCGAAGCTGAGGACCGTAAGCTACTCGGAAAGGTTATGGAAATGCTGAGAAACGCGCAAGCGAAGATGGCTATGGATGCTTATGCTACCGCCAACGGGAGCGGGATCATCAACGCAGACATTGGTTTGGGTCCCAAGGTGTTGAGAGTTAGTGCGTATCTTCTGGATAAGGTGGTTGTGTGGCCTGGTACGTATCCTTCCTCAGCCGATCTAAGATTTAATTTCTAACATCAATTAGCTACACGCCTCATGGCGCAAGCTCTCCGCTCGCAAGCAGAGCATATGGAAGTCCGAAACAATACAATGCTCGCTCATCATATGCAACACTAGGCTCATCTCGCCAGAATTTTCCTCGCTATTCTCATGATTTCAATCTATAGATCACGGGGTTTTGGAGGAGTCGCAATCTTCCGTTTCCCTTCGTTTCATTTTCTTTTGTTCACCGTAAATATGGTACCTTTTTCATATGTCTGGGAATTTTATTTTTTTCTCATGTCTATGGGTGGCTTGGGTTTTCATATATTTTGGTTTGGGGCATATTTTTTTCCACCTATTTCTCATATAATTTCCTTCTTCATTATCTGGGGCTTGGTGTTGTTTGATTTTGTACGAAAGTGCCGTTTTTTCTTCATGATTGAGAATGATAGCTGATGATGTACACGATTGTTTGTATGGATGTGTGCATAATTTTTTTTTTCGTTTTTCTTTCGGGCAGATAAACCGTCTCTCAAGTTTTTATGTTTGATATTCAATGTATGGGGGTGGGCGGTGGAGATTCTCGGTGAATGGGGTGTTATTTTTTTTTGTTTCACCCTATTCTTCTCCCCCCCGGTCCCCTTGTATTGTGTATTTTTCTGTTTTTCTAAATATCGACTTGTTCTCGGTTTCTTTTTATTTCATCCTTTTCGGTTTCTCATGGCATTTCTTTGTGGATACTGATCAGCGGTTTGAGTATGTAGAGGACTTGTTTTGTTTTGTAAGGTGTCGCATGTTTCCTTAATCTCGGTGTTTCCTCCTTCTATTTCCTTATTACCTTGTATGTTTTTTTTCTTTATTTTCTTCACCTGCGATGATGTCGATGTTAATGTCGGATGATCGCGGGGCTCGGATGAACGAAAAAAAGAAAAAGAAATAAGTGGTGATGATGACTGAAGAGGAGGATACGAGGAAATATGCGACACCTTTTTTTTTTTCTTTAACGAATGATATGAACTACTTTTCGAGATTCTATTTTCCTTGGGTAACTTCCTTTGTTTGGGTGGTGTGCTGGTTTTTTTTTTTTTTTCTCTTTCCTCGGCTTTTTGCATGTTTCAGGGCGAGATGGGCTTTCTTCTCTGTTCAAATTTTTTTTAACTGGAAAGACCAATGTTTCCATGTTTTTTTCCTCTTTTTTTTTCCTTCGCGGTTCATTATCGGCCAAACAAAAAGGCAGCTTCACTTACCTACCTACTCTACCTACTCTACCTACCCTACCTCCTCCCCCTCCCCCGATTGATTTTTATATACAAATATAGGCTACCTCTGTATGGACTGGCTAGCTAGGTTTTCTTCTTCTTCTAAATATGGTCGACGATGATACCTTTCTTCCCCCTCCCCTTCCCCATCATGTTACAACCCCCCCTCCCCACCCCACTACTGCTACCGATACCCTCATGTCCTCATGTGTTCCTGAAAGTCTTTACCAATCATGTACCCTAAAAAATCAATTCAAATCCGGAATCCGAATCAAAAAAGCAAAAGTGAAAAAAAAAAAGGCCAAAGAAAGTGAAGGAACGCCAAAAGAAAAGAAAAAAACCCTGTCTTGGATTTACGGTGATGATGGAAGGAGGGTAGGTGCTATGCCGGCAACGTGTGCCCCCGGTGATGAATAAATGTGCCGAGAATCGGGAAATTTGGAAACCTTTGAAAGCCGCCGGGGGGCTACCGCTGCCGTGGATTGGGGGGGGGGGGGGGGGGGCGGTTGAGTGCTGTTTTAATACAATTGTTTGCGGAAGGGCAAATTACGCCACCTGCTGTCACTCTTTTTTTTTTTTTTCTCTGCACTTTGGCTCCAAGAGTGGGAGAGCATTTTTGCAAAACCAGGGTCATTGAATCGGTGAAAAAGAATTTCTGCTCCTCCACTCCTCCGCTCCGGCTGGCCGAGCGAGTGATCAGATATGTCGAGCCAGCTAGGCTAGTCTATCCAGGCGGCTTGTTTCAGTTCAAGCAGAGTCGAGCAGAGTAGAGTTGAGGAGCTCCCTCCCCCCCCCCCCCCCCGGGGGGGCCCTCCGCCCCACAAAAATGTACCTACAATGATGTGCATACGTACATGTTGCTACTCTATGTAACTGCGGGAAGGGAAAGGGGAGGCAAGGTAGGCAAGATAGGTAAGGTAGGTAGCCTAAACCGGGAAAATACCTTTTGTATATTTTTTTTTTTTTTTTTGCCCGTGACCCGGTCGGTGCGGTAGATAGATGGATCTAGGGACCTCGATGATGGGCAGAGAGATAGAGCTAGACTGGTGTGGAGTTATCGAGATCATGTTTAGAGAGAGAGCGAGATAGGAGGGGATATTGAGGTGGTACGCAGCTAGATAGGTGCAGGTTTGTATGTATAGTAAGTGTTGCTATTGCTATTGGCGGTGCACGGTGGTACAAGTAAGTAGTAGAGTAGATATCATCAGTACTCGAGATCAGTGGCAGAGGTTCAGTTAGACTATTGGACGGGAGCGATAACGGCATGTATGTACGTACTAGGGTAAACTCAAGTACTGGGATGCCCTTGACGAGTTGAGTTGGCTTGTCTGCGTACCCGCAAAGGTTTAATCCGCTGGAAATTAAACGGTGTTTGTATCCCACATACAAGGAGGTACCGGTGGCTAGTATGCACGTACGTAGGGTATACAATACAATCTAGCTAGCTAGAGGGATATATGCCACGCCCATAAGGATATCCTAACTGTACCGGTGACTTCTTTCGGCGATAAATAAGGGTATATATCCCGTCCATATATGCATAAGAGTGTCTAGTCCTGCAGCTGACGAACAAACTTTATATAAAATCTTTATCTGTAAGATCAAGGGTTAGGTCTTGAATCAGCGAAAAAGGAAAAGATGGACGTAGGACGGACCATAGGATATCACTCACTTTCCAATTCTAGCATGATGCATAGCAGGATTTCTCACCCAGAACGATCTATCCAACTGTACACATACATACCACATAAGTATTGTGGGGTGACAGAAGTTCTCGTGATTTTCGCATAGCAATCAGCAGAAATTACTCAAAAGACTAATCCACAAAGTTGGTAATCGGAATTCATACCTAGGAGGTATGTTCGATCAATCTTAAGCTCTCTAATCACATAACTATATCCTTTATATCTTTTGTGACCGTGGAGTTATACTCGTGTCATGACCCACCCTGGCACAAAAATCACGAGAACTTTTGTCACCCACACAATACCATCCAGACTACCTCCTATCATCGTTTCCAGTAAGCATTTGGGACACGGCCGCCTGGACTTACAGTGTAAGTTAATTAATTCCCAACCCACATGACATCCAGTGGGACGAAACTGAGCCCGGAAAACAAAAAAAGTGGGAAATAAATCGTTGACCAGTAAGCCCGAGTACTGTAAGGCGCTGTGTGTTCCAATGGCTAGAACAAGCTGCAGACCAAGCCATTGCATCGGATGACGAGAGAGAGAGAGATGATGTAATAAAAGGAAAGACTGCCAGAGTTTCTAGCCTTTATTTGTCTTCACAAGCTCCAATTGAATAGCTAGAAAAGTCCTCACGAGCTATGTAGCTAGCACCTGTGCTGTATTTACCGGTCATGATCACTGTCATATCTTACCGCCCACCGGAATCAAATCCAGAGGCGGATTACCCCCCCCCCCCCCCCCCCCCAAATGTAGTATGTAGCTGGAAAATTACATAGACATGAAGTATCACTCGATCCCAATCCAGCTAGCCTCCAGAGCGGGCTAGCCTTACAGCTACATGTACACGATTGAGAATATTACACACCGACGTCACGCGCCAAGGTTAGCGGTGAATTTAATAGATTTTTTCGCCGACCAGCTAGCTAGCTAGTGCAGGCCGATCAGGTTATTAATTAACGTGCCTCTTCTATAAGCAGGGTATGATATAAAAAGGCACATCTCATCACAATTAACCTCCCACCCCGTGATAAACTACATATATATATGCATAGTTTTCCGCGCCATGTCTTCCATGTCTAGTCAAGCTAGCTAGGCTAATGGTTGCAATCTGGCCTGACCGCCAATCAAGGGGATAACCATATCGAAGAGATCATGTCCTAGCCCCTAGGCTGTATTGCTAGGTATATAACGTGTGCTAGAGATCAAGCTAGGGCTCCCTCATCTACCATCTTCCCCTCTTCCTCATCTTTCCTCTTCCTCATCGGGCGAATAGGACCTTGTTATCGATGGCCCGACCCGCGTTTAGGGAGGCTTTGAGTACGCAATCGTGACATATACACGTTGTTACTGAATAAGACCAACAGAGACCAGATATACTCTAGGGAAGGTGCTAAATCTACATCACAACTCTCCCATCTAGAAACCAAATCCATAGTCTAGATCTTCCTTTCTGAGAGTTCCTTACTATCCACGCCACGCAAGCTACACAAGAAAGCCAACAAAAACAGATGTATAAATAATTTTTCTACTCGTCCCTGTCATCACGGTCCTAACAAAAACTCCTTCTTGATAAAGCATACTACATTTTCCCACTCTACAACGTGTCCCCAACCACCCGCTATTACAAATAGTCTATTTCTAGTTATGCGCCGCCAGAAGCCTCTCAATCACGCCATCGAGCACCCACTCATGCTGTCCACCCACGACTTCAAGGTTCTCCGCCTCGGCGAGGAACATCTTGTGCGGGTCCTGGCCAGGCGCAAACATGCCTGCGCCGGCGGCAGGGTTCATGCCGCCCATCTGAGCGGCCATCTGGTCTGCGGCGTTGTCGTTTCCGAGGATGAAGCTGAAGACGGGGCGGAGACCAAAGAGATTAAGGAAGTACCTAGAGGAGAGGTTTAGTTAATTAGTGCGAATGGATGAAATGAGATGAGCACGTGGAGCTTACCAGGAGAGAGACGACACCCATCGAACGTCCATATCCCTCGTCATGACACCCGACTGGAGCATGCTCTTGAAGCGAATAGTCAACGGGAACGGCAATTTCACTAGCACCCACCCAACCCAATCAGCACTGCTCCCACCACAACCACCACCACCACGTCACACGGCAAACTTACTGATCACAAAACCGCTGAAAAACGCATTAATCCAGCCCATAATCAGCGTCTGCGGCACCATCATCGCCATGTTGCCCTTGAGCATATTCATCATCTGGTCCATCCCCGCCGGATCCGTCATTGGGTTCGCCGGCGGCTTTCCCTTGTTCTCCGGGTCCTTGAGGAACTCGCCGCGGTTGTAGGCCGCCACTAGGTAGTTCTTACGCGCCGTGAAGGAGGACAGCGAGAGCTGGTTGAGATTGGTGCGTAGTGCGACGCCGTGGAGGAGGTTGCGCCTGGGGAGTTAAGGTTAGTACCATGTAGGTTTGGTGAGGGCTGGGGAGGGCTGGGGAGGGCTGCGTGGCTTACTGCTCGCGAATCGCCCGGATATCTTGTTTTTGGGGCGCGGACTGCATCAGGACTGTCGCATAGTGACGGAGTACACCAGTGAGGACCTAGATGTCATGTTAGTCCAATTGAAGTAGATAGCAGTAACCTCTGGAGAAGCTGTCTGTACACGTACCATGACAATCGTGATGGGGAACAAGATCCAATAGCTACATAGTAATCTGTCAGCATGGCATCAGACGCTTAGGAGAAACATTAGTGCCTACAATAGCTGGGGATCCCGAAGGATCGTTTGCTCCTGTACTGAAGCCATGGTGGTTGCTGGTGGTTGCTGGTGGTTGAGCTGTGCGTACTGTGGAACTGTGGAGGAAACTCGGGGTGTGGCTCGCTTTGGAGATGTGTTGCTAACTAAGGGAAAGGGGACACGGGCAGGGTAATGTCTTGGCGGTGTTGAGCCGCAACGCTAGCACTGGTCGTGGAGGAGGAAGCTAGGACTGCGGCTGAGGAATATTCGAGTGAGTGGTTGAGGGTGCTGAGCTTTGAGGAATTCCGACTGCACGTGCTATACATACATGTAGATATAACAATCTGCTTAAAGTTGTACTCTTATGATTGTCGGGGGTCAAAGACAAGACACAAGATCTACAGATATCGATAAGAACAGACCGCAAAAGAAGTGATTCAAGTGAAAACACTCTGATACTGGGAGATACGCGACTTAATTAGTCGCGCACTAGCACTATAATGTCTGTGAGCACGGGCTTTCTCTGTCTCTTGTTATCGTCAGTATCAATGATGCCAAGCATCACCACCGATAAACCGCCCGAGTGATAATCCATGAAGATACAACGCCATATTTCAAAGTTTATCAACACCCGTATCTGGAACTCTCTCTCATCACACCCCACCAAGAAGCTGAAGTATTCCCCCGAAACACCCACCTACAAGATCCACTTCTTTGTCCCTAAACAAACACCTTCTTCCCTATACATAAACAGATCCCCCCCTCCCTCTCGCTCCCGCTTCCTCCCAAAACCCCAACCCCAAACACATCAACCATGGAATCCCTCGCCCGCGGCCGCACCAGCCAATTCCACTCCCTCCACACGCGCCAACGCCAAATCGCGCACGCGCGGCACACCCTGCGCCGCGCCCGCCTCACCCACCGGCAGCGCCTCCTCACCCTCTCCACCATCAAACCCCCCACCCAACCCTTCTCCTCCACCCACCCCGCCGCCGCCGCCGCTTACAAAACGGCAATCAAGCGCCTCAAGTCCACGCTCAAGCAAGAGTACAAACAAGCGCGCTCGCAGCACCTGCGCGCGATCCACCTGTGGGAGCGGGAGGTGGGGGAGCTGCTGGTGTTCCTGAGCGGGCCGGGGTATGGGCGCATGGGGTGGGTGTGGGAGGGGGAGGAGCCCGAGGAGGGGGCGGTGGGGGATGGGGAGTATGTGCCCCCGCCGGTGGAGGAGGAGGAGGAGGAGGAGGAGGAGGAGGATGATGACGACGACGAAGAGATAGAGATGGGGGGGGGGGGGGGGGGATGAGGAGGGGGACATATAGTGATGAGTGTTATCCCCCTATAATATAGAAAATTAAATTTGTATGTATCGGAGATCTGTTATTTGATAAGGAGAGATAACGGGATCTGTTAGTAAAGCCACACCGGATTTGCTTTTTCTTGGGGTGCGCAGCATTTTGTCGACAGGCTAAGGGATACTTGGGGGACAGAATATAAATTGTAAAAATTACTTATTTAAAAACAACTCATAAACCGCCTACTACTGCATGTTTGCAATGTGTTTATGGCACTCCAGCACGAAATACCATTCATTGTTATCTCTATGTAGCTACATGTACATGTAGCTAGGGAATTGGCGAATACCGACCTGGAGCATTCTTTGTTCGACACAACCCCCCAAACCACCCCCAAACACCAACCACGCCCCTCCCCCATATTCAACCCATAACTAACCGCATATCTAACCATTCACCGCCACAATGTACCCCCAACTTCCACCTCATATCCGGGTGCTGGCATGTGACGACCAGCCGAGTGATACTTCATGACGCAATTCACCACCCACTTCTATGTACACCACACCACACCACACCTCAACTCACCTGCCTCATCACATCTGAGGGAGCCGGGTACTAGTACGCAGTTCAACTCAACATTATAAATGCACGGTCATGATCTATCTATCCATTGATACTCCAAAGACAGGAAAGAATGAAAATCAAGAAAAAAACAAAGTAAAATTATTCCACCCAAGAACGCCTCCAACCAGCTAGCAAGCGGAGATTAAATTAAATTTCACAGTCCACCACCCCCTTCCCCCTTCCCCCAACCCCCACCCCCACCCCCAAAAAGCCCCAAAGCTCCAAAAAAAAAAGTCCAAGAAATCTAAAAAGCTCTAAACCCCTTCTATCCTCTACTCCACCCTCTCCGCCCTCCATATGCCCGCCCAGTCCCACACATCCTCCAGCTCCACAAACCTCCCCTTCCTCACCCACCTCCCCCGCGCCTCATCCCACACCGGCACCCTATCCGCGCGGTGCCCAAAGTTATGAAACGCAAACACCTCCAGATTGCGCAGGTCCGTCTGCGCCAGGCGAATCTCCATCATGGGCGTGTTCTGGCGCATCTCCGCCATCACGTCTTCGCGCGTGAGCGGCGCCACCGCGAGGATGTGGATGTAGCGCAGGCGCGTGAGGAAGACGATGAGGATGTCCAGTATTTTCTGTATCATTGGCGGTGTTAGCTAGCCCGCCACAAAGGGGGAGAGAGAGAGGGAGAGGAGAGGAAAAAGAGGGGGGGGGGGTACCCATTGACTATGCAGCATCGAAATCGCCAGTTCCTCCAGCCCCGCACAGGACCTAAACAGCCTACTCACATCCAACCTCTCATAGCTCCACCTCGAGCACAGCCTCAGCCTCTTCAGCGTCGCCCCATGATGCCTCTCAATCGCCTCCAAGAACCTCGTCGCGTTCTCCGCCTCGTCGTGCGCAACCACCGGCGGGTCCAGGATATACAGCTCCTCCAGTCCATCAAAGCTGTTCAGCAGCAGCGCCCAGTGCGCCGCACACGAGTTGATGCGCAACGACTTCAGCTTCAGCTGCACGACCCTAATCACCGAGGCCGTCGACCCCGGCGTCGTCCCGGGCGTACTCACCACCGGCGACGCCGCGCCAGGCGACTCCGCGTTCACCGTGAAGCCGCCTCCGCCGCTGAGGAAGCCTGTCGGCTGCTCGGACTCAATGATTGCGCCGTGGGAGCCCGCACCGATGAGTTCCAGCCAGCTTGCGACGTCAATGACCTCGCAGTCGAGGAGGCTGAGCTTCTCCAGCTGGGCCATGTCGAGCCACTCCTTGATGTCGCCAACCATGGGGAAGTCGAAGACGACGTTTCGGAGCTCCAGCTCCTTGAGGCGGAGTTTGCCCGCGGTTTGGGGGTCGCCAGGGCGGCCGGTGCCGACGCCGATGCCGACGCCGCGGGCGGTGGGGGGCTTTTTCTGTTGCAGGATGCGCTGGAGGAAGAGCATGCGGCCGAGGGGGGTGGGGTCGCGCCAGGAGAGGGAGATGCTTTCGAGCGTGGGGGAGAAGAAGATGGCGGGGCTGTAGTCGTCGATGAAGGCGGAGACGCTGGGAAGGTTGGTTAGGCAGAGTCTACGTAGCGTGCGGAAGGGCGGGACGGAGGTGAGGGGAGGCCGGTGTATCGAGGGGTTGTTCGAGAAGCCCTTGTGGGCTAACGACTTGCCGGCACCAGTCTTGCCGTTCGTGGAGGGGTGATATGGCGGAATGACGGGATGGGATATCTTGAGCTCCTTCAGCGTCGGGTTGCGCACCAGCGCTGTGAATAGTAACGGGTGTACATAGTCGTCCGGCTTCCACCTATATCTCAAGCACACATATTCACAGATCAGCACTCGGCCACCGTATCACCGCATTATCATTCTTCCGTCCCGGTGTCAATGATGAATCCGATATAAAAAAAAAGATAAAACCCACCAGAACGTTTCCAACCTCGTACACCCAGCCAGCACCCCAGCCACAGCCACCGCCCACACCGTGTCCTCGTCGCTCCACTGCGCGCGCTCCCACCACTCATCCTCGGCGTCGCGGTCGCGCTCCTCCTCGTCGCCGACGATCTTGAGCACCTTTACGCAGGCCGCAATTCCGGGCTTCATCAGCGCGCTGAGGGCCATGTACTTTCCGCCGGCTTTGGGCCGCCGGCTGGGCCGTCGCAGGGTCACGGTGTGGTAGAGGAGCGGGACGGAGAGGAAGTGGTGGATGCGGGAGGTGCGCGCGACGTTGGCTAGGTCCGAGGGGGATTTGATCTGTGGGGGGGGGAGAGACATGTCAGCTCCAGAGCTATCGCAGTTGCGTCAACCCCCAACACCAAACATCGCAGTAGCAGCAGCAGCAGCAGCAGCAGCAGCAGCAGGCAGAGCAGTCAACAGGTGGTAACTGGCAGGCAACCAACTTAACCAGACCCAGCGTGAGGCGGAAAGAGGTGGGGAGTAGAGCGTGGGCATACGTGAGAAATGATTGAGCTCATGATGTCCAGTGGGAGCTGTATCCGCGCTGGATCGGCCCCCGTCCGGGGCTTGTGCATTGTGGGATCGAGAATCTCGTACATGGCGCTGTTCTCTCTCTCTGTGCGTGTGTTTGTGTATTGTTTCTGTCTGCTGCTGCAGGGTTCGTGGTGTCTTTTGTTGTGTTGTACTGTGTGTCTTGTGTTGTATGTATTGTCTGTATTGTCTGTATTGTGTAGAGTAGTAACTCTGTATGGACGTATCTCTGTCTGTCTTAATTGCTGGACCGTCTCGTTCTGTCACTCGGCACCGATAAGGACCCTCCAGTGGAGTGGAGTAGCAGTATGTAGAGCAACACTAGCACTCTCACAAGCACGAGTATAATCCCCACAGAGTACAGAGTACAGTCTCTCTCCCTAGCTCTTTCTCTCTGCCTTTCTTTCTCTCTGCCTTTCTTTCTTTCTCTCTGCTTCCTCCTCACTCGCTCACAGCCACCCAACAACTCAACTCAACTCGGCTTCTTCCGTTTCCGTTCCCGCACCCGCTCGGTGTCTCTCTCCTTCTTCACTTCGGTCCGGGTAGCAGCAGTCCACCCACCGTCACTCGCTGTCAATCCTGTTGCTGTCGTCGTCACCGCCTGCCCTTCAAGTTCAATCGACAACCTTTTCTTGTCCGCGCACGACCGCAAAAAATAAAAATAGAAATAGAAATAGCAGGACCCAGCGACTAGGTATGTAGGTAGGAAAGGCAAGGAAAGGAAGGGAAGAGAGAAAGAAGAAAAGAAAAAGAAAGAAAAAAAAAGTCTCCTAGCGAGACGAGCGATCGAGTGAGCAAAGTGAGTGAGCGAGGCTCCAAATCCAACTACTTTACTAGCCAGCCTAGTACCCTGTCGACTTTTTCGGGGCCCGTATTCCCGACCGACAGATAGACAGCCCTTACTCTTTCTTACTCTCACTCACTCATTCACTCACCTCTACAGCGCAGCAGAGAACCCGTCTGGATGGATATTAAGAGCACATACATAGATCTCCCAGTGAATGAGTACCAACTACCGAATCGTCAGCATTCCGCTCTCTTCCGCTCTCTTCCACCGAGTACAGTTGCACTCTACTCCACTCTACTCTACCCTACCTTACAATCCCTGAGACCGGGTAGAACCCACCAAACACGTGAAAGAGCAAACAAGCTTCCCAAGAGTGAACGCACTTACTCTAGCCCCTCTCACCTCCAACCCCTCCCCTCCCCCCCCCCCCCCCCCCAAACCCCCCCTGTTCGGGGATAGTGGTGGTGTGGGTGGTTCGACGGAGCAACGGAGCTCCGTGGTGGATACAGTAGATAGAGTGAAGAGCTTGGAGTAGATAGAGGGGGAAGCTCTGCTGGCTATCGGCGTATGCTCTGGAGAGGAGTGTTTACTCTAGCTTAAATACTCTATTACTACATGTACTATTGTGAGCTTAACTGGACTGCCACCTTTATATGTACAAGTATCTATAGTTATAGATAGGCTTTCATCCTCCTTCGTAATAGAATCATCCATCCTAACATCTATGGAGTCTTCCTACATGTACCTACAACTACAGTACCAAAAAAAAGAAGCGGGTGGATCCAGTACCACATCTGGCAGAATACTGCAAGGTTATAGGACTCCGATTTAATTCAGAAGTTTTATACAATTCCGTATTGGTACAGCACCTATTACATCACCTTTTGGGGACTGTACTAAAGTATGCCCTTCGGTGTCAAGGTGGTGTTGAAGATGGTTCGTCATTTAGAACTGTCATTTAGAACTGTCATTTAGAACTGTCATTTAGAACTGTCATTAGAACTGTCATTTAGAACTGTCTTTCGTGAAATACATGTGGAGCTTTGCTGCATAATCGTGAAAAACACTTCCCATGTCATTTCAACTCCTAGAAATAAAGAAATACAGTTTCATCTGCGAAAACAAAGGGGGGTAAACACAATAGAAAACGACTGCAATTAATTCATAGGTACAATCAAAGAACTAAAGGTATTTATGCGCTTTTTGCTTCTTAATCATGTAGCCACAAGAAGATACGCTCAATCAACAAAAACACCGCGTTTGGGCAATAATGGTCACTTCCCCCGGATATGCGCTACTTGGGCACAGTTAAAGGTCTCTATCCTCAGCCTCCAATGCCTGCAATTCGTCAATAAACGCCGTCTTAGCCCACTCCCAGTAAGCCGCCCACTTCTTCTGCCCACCGCTGCCTCCAAACTCGCCGTTCAACGTCAAGGTCGCTCTCATAGTGCTCCTGATACTCTCGTGGTGTTTCTCGATCTCTTGCTTGACCGCATTTTCCTTTGGCTTTGTCGAGAGGGTGGTTCGGAAGCAATCAGAGATGCTGTCCAATCTGCACAGCGTCTCTTCGCGGGCGAGATGAATTAGTTTGGTCAACATGAGGTTACAGAGCGCACGAATGTCATGTTCGTCTTGGAGCCCAACGATGACGCGGTCAAAGTATGTTCGAACGTCGATACCAGAAAAGGAGGTTTCAAGGAGGGCGTAGAGGGTTTCGTAAGCGCTCTTTTTGCAGAGGTTAGTTAAATCATTGACACGCGGAAACGGGAGAGTGGGTAACCACAAACCTTCCTAACTTCCAATCCATCGTCTACCTTGTGCTTGAATGGTCCCATCATCACTTCTCTGACCAACTCTGGCTTAATAAAACTCTCCCTATACACCAGTGGCAGAAGTCTCTCCAAATGGGGCATGATAAGATGGGGCTTGTTATGAGCGGCCGAATTCAGTGCTGTCAGCGCTAGCCTTCTATTCTCCATCTCCTTGTCGTCGACCATGACAGTCAAGAATTCGACGACAATCGGCCTCAAGAGGTCATCGTAAGAGGCCTCGGTATCCGTAAAAGTGTATCTCAGCGCGGAAATGACCATACCACGTATAGCAGGGAACGGTGACTGGAGATGTTTCTGGAGCTCCGGCAAGAAGCTGTACGGATCAATGATCGTAAGTCTTCCGACACATTCTGCACCGACAGCCTTGCTATCATCATTCTTTGCGATCGCAAAGAGGGCATTCCAGATCTGATCGGCATAGGGCTTGATGTCCGCGGTAGTATCATTTGAGTGTTGGATGATCTCTTTCAGCGAGTGCAAGAGCAAGTATTGATCCTTATCGCCACCACCAAGTCTCTGCATGATAACAGGCAAATATCCACTGACATTGCCCGCAGCAGCTAGTCCCAAAGCCACTGCTGCAGCAATCGGAACATCATCACTCTTTGCATGGAATTGATTCAAGAAAACCTCTGGACCAACTGGGAATGATGCTCCCCTAAATCAACGGGTAAGTCAATGATTCAAAAAACAAAAACAAAAAAACAAATGGGGGGTTGAGCGCTTACATCCTCAATCCGATTTCACCAAGAACCATAAGACCCAAGCATTTCCTCTTATCATCAGAGCTGCTCTCGACTTCACCAACAAAGTCACCAACGCCAACAGCAAATCCCCCTTCCTTACCCCCGCCACTAACATGTAATTGTGCTACCAGCCTAGCGACAACTCCAGTGTCCCCGTTGACACCAACATCTCTCAACAGAGAGTTCATCACTCTCTTCTTCCCTTCATCATCGACCTCTCCAATTGTCTTGATGAGTAATAGTAAGTTCTCCACCACAAGACCGGAACCAAGAGAACTCTTGGCCAATCCGCTGATACCATCAATTATTCCTTGAGAAACAAAAACTCCACCATCAAGCATCATCAACTTAATGATTGCGAGCGCTGGAGCAAGTAGGTGCATATCTCCGACCACCAAAAGAGGCGTGAGAACATCAATCAGCTCTTTCTTACTTGTAGAGTCCAACTTTCGTCTACAGATTTCATTTGCAGCAATGCTCTTCAAGGCGTCTAGGCTGGCCCCACGAAGTGATCGATTGGACTTTCTCAATTGAGCACCGCACTCGACAACCACAATCTTGACCCATTCATCGTTGACGTCTTCTGCAGTCTTGGTATTTCTTGCAATACCCTCAATAGCTCTTACTGCAGTGACGCGAGTGGTTTCGTTTCTCAATCTTTCCACGAGCAGATCTAAGGCTCTAGTCCTTCGGTCTTGCCCGATAAGCTCTACCTCGCCAGAGGTCCGGGCCAGTACGACCCCAAGAGCAACAATGGCCTTCTCCCTGACCTCTAAATCCGACTCGCTGCTTTGAACTTTCTCAAGAACAACATCATACAGACCTTGAAGGTATAGGGCATAACTCTGCGCTCCTTGGGTAGTAAGGAGTTTAACGATCGCGACAATTGTGCCAAGAGCTTCAGAAGAGATCTTGTATGCAGATTCTTTGACTGCTACAATTATGGCAGGGATAAGTGAGTCAAAAAACTCTCCAACCACAGTAGCCGAGTGGTTCTCGCAAATCTTGCCAACCAGCTTCAGAACCTCAACTCTTAATGAAGATCCAGTAGCGGTTGCAGCACTTCCAGCTCCTGCAGTGGCCGCAACAACATTACCTGTAGAAGACAGAGTGCTCCCACCCCTAACGGCTTCCACAAGCGGTTCGATGAAGAACCCGAGGACCCCATCAAGTCCGCCGTGGAGAATCGAGACAATTGATGATAGTAGGGTGATGCTTGCTTGTTTAGTTGGCAGCGTTGTGGTCTTCGCCTTAAACAGCTTGCTGAGTGATTTGCTGAGCTCAGGGATGAGTGCTTGTAGACTCTCCTTCACACCAGCTTCATCCGCACTGGGAACCGGCACTTGCAACTGACTCGCACCATCAAGCATGGAGGCATCAGAGCCCCGCCTTCTTTTAGGGGGCGGTCCCATAGCCATATCACCGGGAACATTTGTTGTTACAGAAGCAGAGGAAGGAACAAATGTCCCCTCAGCAACCTCCCCAGTCTTTCTCACCAAAACAGTAGCGGTTGCTAGTACCTCCAAACGCACATTTTCTTCGCGTTCATGGAATCGCTTGACAAGCAGTGGTGCAACATCTGTATAAGCCTTTCCACCTCCCTCCCCCTTTCCTTTAATCAAATCTGCTGCACGTGTAGATATAACAGTTGACAGTAGTTTCGCTGCACAGCGTCTGACTTTCCAGCTGATATCATCCTCATCCGAAAAATCTCCGTCGTCTTCGAACGCTCCTTCGTCATCGCTTCCGCCGAACTCGTCATCCTCATCGTCTTCTCCCTCTTGTTGAGTTCCTCCCATTTCCTCATCACCTTCCTCGTCACCAGGATCGGCATAATTTGGGTCGTACTTTAGGTAGATCATTCCAGCATTCAGTACATCATCTGTAAACCTAATCATTTCGCTGGTACAGAAACTCTGGAAGCTCTCTAAGCTCACAAGGGCAGCTTCGCGAACTTCATCCATTTCCATTTCTGGCTCGTCGCCAAGTTCCCGGTCCTGGATGTCTCTTCCGTCCACGACCGAAAGTATGAATGGACACAGAATTTTCAGGTATGGCCCGAACCGGGCCGGAATGCCTCGAGCAAGGGCACCCGTTACAGAAACAAGCAGGCGAAGACGAGTAGGATTACGGTGCTTATCTTGTGCCCGGAAGGACTCAATGAGGTGATTTATGAAACTAGACAAAAGCTCATCCGGGGAGTACAAGCAAAGTAAGCTCAACGCAATGACAGCCCTTTTCTTGACTACCCCTGTAGTCCGATCGCTTTCAAGAAGGTTCATAACAGCAACTTGTAGTCTCTCGACTTCAGCACCGGTAAGGATTGGACCGAAGCAACGCAGGGTCTCGATGAGCAGATCTATACTATCGAGGGTTGCGCCACCAGCCTTGACAACTTCATTGCCAGGTTTAAGCAAGATCAGTAGCTTTGGGAGTAAAGTCTTCTGAACGGCGTTAACAGAGGCTACAATGGTCTGCTGTACTGGATCTTGCTTTTGGGCCGATCCAGTGCCGGCCTGAAGGGTGTTGTTGGTTGCTGGGCGAGGAAGACTGGATATTATAGTACGGAGAGCTGTAGAAGGAATTGAGGGGTCGGAAGATGACATAGAGAGCGTGGTAAGACGATCAATTAGAGGAGCGATCTGCGAATCTCGAATCTTGAGAACTAGTGGTCCGAGACTATAGTAGGGTTCTCCAAGTTAGCTTGCTGAAGCCTGTAGAGCTTTTGGATAGACCTTGAGTAGATATATAGTCCACGACCGAATAAGAAAGGTAGCCGGCTGGACAAGAAACGAAGCTCCAGAACAGTCTGGCAAATAACGTACCACTTGACAGCCAGATTCTGGACCTCTCCGTTTGCGTCATCGAGAGATTTTACGACGCCGTCGATAACTCTCCCGGCCAAAGCGGTATCAGCTTGAGCCAAGCTGCCGTTGGGGCTGGTCAAGATGGAAAGTAAGTCGTTTAAAGACATAAAACGATAGTCCGAATCTGGAGAGGACATCTTTTCCAGTAGAGACTGGAGAGCAAATGGGGGGTTTGAAGCTGCCATGATTCGTTACTATTCTTTTTTTGTTGTTATCTCCTCTTTTTCCGCAGAGATGAAGCTGGGTTGCGCTTCTAGCACCCGGGAGAGCTAAGATGGATAACGAGGGAGATAAATGTTGATGGATAAGTCGATGGGATGATGGATGGTGATAGGTGGTGGTGTTTTAGTCTATAGCGATGGTGGGAAGGTACCCAGGTTTACTTGTCTAATCCAGAGTTAACACAGCCTTTCACTATTTGGTGAGAGCTGAGAGCTTAGAATGCTGAAAAGATAAAGAGTCAAACCTTCGCGCTCGAGAGTTGAGGAATCACTTAGAATGTGGGGAAACCCTCACACAGAAGGAGGGGTCTGTATTCTCGCTTCCGCCACTTGGCTATTATTGGATTAAGAGTTGTGACCCAAGAGAAGCCTCAACTGTGACGTACCCCGGCATACAGCCAAGCCACGAGCGTTCTTGTCCAAGTGTGAGGTCATCCCCCATAATAACACCCGACCCCATATCATCCGGTGTTCTCGTCTTCTTCCTTTGTACCTCATTTCATCTCATTATCTATTGTATACCATCTCATCTCTCCGATACCACTTCAATTACACCAATTGGCTCTCCCAACATCTTCAAAATGGCATTTCGCTTGACTTCTGCTGCCCCGGCCATCAGGTCCCTTCTGACCCGCCCCTCTACAGCCACTTCGCGCCAATTTATGCGCAGGATGTCAAAATACACTGATGAAAACCCACACATCATAAAGGGTACTAATTCTGATCTTCCATGGATCATCGGTGCCGTTGTAGTCACTATTCCCACCGTAAGTGATTCCGGGAAACATAACCTCGGCATAATTTGAAAGCCCTTGGCTAACAAAATTGGGCTGTTCCAGGGTTTCTACCTACTCTCAGGAAATTCTAAGCCTGATCATCACGCTACCCATGCCTCTACTGGTCATAGTCTTATCTCTAAGCCTCATGGTATGCAGGATGAGGGTCCTCGAGATATCTCCGAGAAGGCCTCGCAAGCAGCCGAGAAAGCCAGCGAAAAGGCTAGCGAGGTCTACAGCGATGTGAAGAGCAAGGTCACATCTTCAGACTCTAGCCCTAGCGACACTGCTTCTGAAGTGGAAGAGAAGGGTAGTGAGAAGGCCCAGAATTTGAAGGAGAAGGCTAGTGAGAAGGCCGAAGACTTGAAGGGAAAGACCAGTGAAAAAGTTGAGGATTTGAAGGAGTTGAAGGAAAAGGGAAGTGAAAAGGTTAATGACTTGAAAGAGAAGGGCAGTGAGAAAGCTGCCGAGTTGAAGAAGAAGGCGGAAAATGAGAGTAACCAAGGAAAGGTAGGTGGAAATTTTAATGCAGGGGATCGGATCAAATGCAAAGTATTAACGGCCTTTGAAGCCACCTTCAGAAACCGATAAGCCGGCTGCGGCAATTAAGCCCCCAAAGAGTATGAACGAACAAAGTGGGAAACAGGAGGGGATTTCAAATAGCGAAACTAACCACGCTGTGAGTTATTTTCACCTCGTTTCACTGGTGTGGAAGAAATTATTGACCCCGGATAATAGGTACTTCACGATGAAAGAGGCCAAGCAATAAGCAAGAAAAGCGAGGGAACTCATGATACGGCGAAGTTGAAAGGGACAGTAGATCCAAACAGAGAGGCCAGATGAGTTTTTAGAAAATGATACAAAAGCTATTGTGCTTAACGAGCGAGTAAGAATTCAGAATGCCATGTTGATGGGTGTAGAATTTACATATTTAGCAGGATACTATTAATACACCATTGGTGTTAAATCCATTTAAACAATTTCCGGGGTTTGCCATCAAACCTATAGCTACATCTTGAGCATTGAATTGAAAACGGCCGATTTTCAACCTGTAAACTAATTGAGACTATCTCCATAATTCTCAGCCAGGCCAAATCCCATTAGAGTACCTACAGCGCGATTCTTGTTACCTTTCCGGGCTCTAAATTCATAAAACTATAATTATTTTAAATAATATGTACTTGGAAAATTTACCTACGTACATGTATGTACCTGCTTAGGGTATTCAAATTTATGGCGGAAGTCTTATATACATACCATGGACCTTAGTACTTTAGGACTTGGATGCCACAAACCTTTGTGATATCCTTTACTATAAGATTCAAATAGGTAGGCAATCAATTTGATGTTTTCTTTACCATATGCCATGCACATGCACTTTAACGATAAATCGCATCACCGGGGAGTGAGCCCTGCCTACAGAGCTTTATATATGTGCAATATCTATATCTTTGGAGTATTTTATACCTCTAGTCCCATATCTCCGGAGTTGGTGTGTGCTCCCGCGAGTGTGTGACAAATACTTGACATGTGAAAGGGGTTTATAGCCCATACTTAACCAGATACTGGAAGTTAATTTTGATAGCAATGGTTGATGCCAGCCCGCGATGTAGAATATGACGGAGTTCCTGTGTGTTGAAAATCTAAGACATCCTCTCAGGCCTAAGGATATGCCATAACTATTATAACTATGTACGTCTACCTAAGTAGCCTCTCCAAAAAGGGCCTTTCTTTCTTTCTTCATGATCAAAGGGACAGCCAATAATATGTAGTTAAGGTACATACTGCCTGTTTTACTATATACAAGTACAGCCACTCTGCAAAAGTGTTCGTGATTCAGATTTCGGAGTGAGACATTTCTCTATATGTAACCGTGCGGACCATCAAAAACCCCCCAAGAGAAAACTTTCCCAGTGACCAATGGAGCCCGGAATCAATGAAGAATTAGATCAATGACCTATCTTCTTTTATATATAGCCACGAACTATATTATATATTTTTCGCTGTTTTGAATCTCTAAACTAATAACATCAACATCACGGGTGCGCCACACTGTGCACTGACATTCAAACTAAATCACGAACACTTTTGCTGAGTGGCTGTATATGTAGTATCAATATGGATCAGTATGAACTACAGTAGTATTCTTACAATACCACGTCACATACATATATACTAGATACGTACGCGTACATATAGTAATATAATGTGAAAACAGTTGAGCAATTGAGTATCACACATATATATACTAGCTCATTAGAGACGATGTGGCCAAATAATCTAATTAAAGGCCAGACGTACTTAAGGCCATGCTAATCACAAACCCGTGAACTGGTCATTGGTCCAGCCAGACCAGATTATGGCGATTGTCTTAATAACACGAATTATAATGAATTATTTAAGTGAATCGATTGCGAAGCGTAGGAATGTTTGTTGACATGTAAGTACAGGTAGCACCACGTGCACCTATAACTAGTATCACTACATGTACTTCTGGCCGGAGTCACTTACAATCCATATTATAGGCTTCTCGGCGGGTTGGAGTACTGAAAATACAGTCGACGAAGCTTAAGGGGTATAAAATTTTCATCCCCAGCCAGGGTAAAATCTGTCAATCTGGCTTGATCAATTGATATTCCACCTGATCTGATAGTACGTTCTGGATAGGTCGATAAGGAATCCGAACGATCCAAGACTATTGCAGGGTTTTAAATGATTGATCTGCCGGTACTCACTAAACTTTAAGGTTTAACTGACTTATCCCTGCATATGCAGGACTACATGTATATACAGGGCAGACCTATCCTATAAGATGACTTATATAAGGGTAAAGAATATTTATAGGCTATCATTTAGTTACATGTAGTAGTATCCTACTAATTTTCCACAGGGGCGTCGATCCAATAGCACGACGTAGAGTAGAGCACTAGAGTACGTTACTTACATGTACATGTATGCACTACGGATCTAGATCCCATGGCCGGGCTCTAGCTAGATCTACTCTTATGTGACGAGTCAATTGTCCGTCCCTACGAATAGTTGCTTGCTTTGGCTGTACAAGGATTACACAATTGGTAAGAAATCGGCAGGATGTCTTTGAATCGCTCAATGTATATAGCTTCTTAACTAACTAGTTGATTATTTCACTTAGATCTCTTATTTCTTATAATTATAGATGGTCTGGTCCCTCTACTATAGATCTATCTATAGATTTGGTTCACAGCTGCCAATGGGCACGTGGCCGGCGGACAGTACGTCGTCCAAAGGTAGATCAGTAAACTACACGTACATACGTACTCTACTCTACATAAAGTCTTAATCGATTTTTAGATGCTTCCAATCCGTATGTATGTATGTATTCTGCAGTTGCGCGTACAAATAAGATATAGTGCTCATGCCATATGCGTATACCAGTAGCGTCATGGCCGGGCGCTATTAGTGTGGTCCATGAGCCAGCTCGAGTCGAGACGGCATATAAGCTCGAGCTGGCTCGGCTCGTGGGAGGCAGAGGCTCGCAAGGCTCGAGCTTTGGTGACAGGCTCGTAAACTGGCTCGAGCCTGTGATCAATGATATAAAAAACAGGTTATCCATACAGCAAATATAGTAAGATGACAAATATAAGCTTCATTTCATAGAGTAATACCGTGAAAAAGATTAATTATTTAAGTGAACACTCTGGTGGGTAGAAGTCACTTTTTTGCTTCCTTTATGGCTTCTAGAGCCTAGTTCAGTGAGCAAACTGAGCTTGAGGTAAGGATCGAGCCAAAGCTCGAGCCTTAGAGAAAACGGCTCAAGCCGGCTCAGGCTCGCTGGAGGGAGAGGCTCACTGGGCTCGAGCCGAAAGTTCGAGCCTAAAGCTCGAGTCGGCTCATGGACCACACTAGGCGCTATGCATGAGCACATACATATATACTCTATCTATGCAACGACAGCTAATATAAAACAAAATACAGTACTGCAGTACATACATTAAGTACTCATTTGAGTCCTAGAGTATATTATCCCATGGTTCGGCGAGACCTGCTTAGAGTCTGGTGCTGTGCAGGCCCAGTACCTTGGCATCAGTTGTTATTGTTGAAAACGAGGTTGAGAGTAAAAGATCAGCTCAATTGTTACCATGTCTGGCCCAGTTTGGTATTACTACGTCCCAGCACTAGATTTTAAGAAGGTCTGATAGATTACTAGGATAAACCAATCATATGTAGAACAATGTATCTCCGCCTTGCAAAGTGGCAGGGGTAGTAATTGGGTTACCATTGTATAAACCAATGGCTGAATGATTTTTTCATCGTACTTGAGAGAAGGGAAATTGGATGGAGTACATGTATAATCACTGAGGTCCGCCGGCCAGAAGATGTATACGTATATATATTTTTTGTCGTTCCCCTAGGCCCGCATGGCATCAAAGCAAATTCCTACGTTTAACAGCTCTCTAACTCCCTAAATTACCTTCGAAACAACAAAATCCCTGTAGGTATATATGTTGCTACATCATATAACACTGTACTAGAAATTAACCCTAGCCTCTCCATATAGCCCAAAATGGCTAGCGCCAAACTCTTATCATGAGTTTGATCCATGAAATACGCTCTATATACAGAAAACGGGTTACCTTTAACATAAAATTATGGTTTTTTTCTCGAAATTGGAGGAAAGCCTACGGTAAGGGTTGGTCGAGTGATATTAGATGATTTTGATCGCAGTGCTTGACGGGAAAGTAATCAGACCAGTCAGGGTAACAGGAGAATCGCCCCATCAATCAGAATCCGTAAGGATTTTAGGGCTCGAACCCCTGTGAAAGTTCACGATCAGATATGATAAGAAACGTTTGAATACCCCCCATATTCACACGTCACCTGCTTTCTTTCTCGATGGGTCGTTACAGCATCCGCCTGACACATCAACTTCTGAACAGATGGGTCGAACTGAATCTGATCGACAACCCTTCCCAACTAGTACAGAGATTTGGCTCTATCTACCACGCCTTTTACTCCTCCGACAATTATACATGTATCCAACACCCGGACTGATGAATACATGTAGTGGTACATACATGTATTCAAGTCCACACTGTGATACAGAAGAAAAGTAATGTGCAGGAAATGCATGGGATTCGGGAGGAGGCACTAAACCTAGTATTTTTTTGTTTAGTTCCATCTCCCAAACCCCTTTCCGCACTCTTGTGAAGCTACCGATGTCTCGATCTCGTCGATATTGTCAGTCACTTATCCTATCTAGAGTATAGGCATTTGATCTATCCCTCCTAAATATAGTTTACTCTACGGTGACGCAGTGCTGCATCGGGTACGAGATCAGGTAACAGGTACCGACCTTACGGGATGCCTACCATCGATTCTACGCTTATTACCTCACAGTCCTGTGTGTTCTCGACTTAATCGCGGATTACAATGCCTCCTGATTCACGCCCCTGAAGTCCTCTTTCACAGCTGTACTCAGTTATCGAAGACCCCCTGCTCCATGTGTACGAAGGAATAATAGTCCCGTCAATAGATATAACACTAGGTGTTGAACTTGACGCCCCCGCTTTAGAGAGATACAGTATGTGTTTACGGCTCCCTTTATCCTGAATTCAGCTCTTAGATCGATGATCTTAACCAACAGGTCGGCTAGGAACAAACCCTCGCAACCGCCCCCCCCCTCCCCTATGGGTCTTGGTCTGGCCTTTGGCAATGTCTTACAGATGGATACTTCAAATATTTTGTCCACTCATCCCCTGAACGACTCCGGTCGGGATCAGACCGCCCCGTGAATGTTGGAGAGTCGGAAGGATTTTCTTGAGCCAAAAGCTGCCCCACATAATCCAATGTATGTATGTATGGAC